TACATCCCCATGACTTATTTGTTTTATACCTGGAAAGTTGAACCTCATTCCTCTTCATCTTTCCCCCCTTTTTTAAATTTTTAATTACAGTTGACATTCAATATTATCTTACATTAACTTCAAGTGTGCAGCATAGTGGTTATACATTTATATAATTTAAGGAGTAATCCCCCTGACTAGTCTAGTACCCACCTGGCACTATACATAGTTATTACCATATCATTGACTATATTTCCTGCGCTTTCCATCCCCATGTCTATTTTGTAACTATCAATCTCTTAACCTTTTTTCACCCCACCTCCCAACACCCCTCTCATAGTAGGTAATATTTTAAGGACCCAGATTAAATTTTTAGTGGGAAGTAGAATGCTTTTTATTAGCCAACCTCAGGAAAGCTAACTTTGGTTCCATTTTAAGAAATTTCATGTGATGAAATAATTATTCTAATGTGTTTTTATTTAGCTGGATAAGGATGAAAATTTGAAACCTGAACATGGATGAGTTCTCTATTGGAACTAGAAAAGTCAAAAGATGACATAACCCAATCTTGATTATTCATGGGGCAGATAATTCACTCAGATCTATTCCTGATTTCCTTCCTGTTTTTCACATTTTTCAAGTTCTCTAACATTTGAGAAAATAAGGCAATGGCATCAGTAAGTCACCAGATGGAGATGTTGAGCTGTCTTTGTTAAAGTGACAAATCAAGTTAGTAGTTCCAAAGTTTAGGCAGTATGAGAATAACCTCGAGAATTTATTTAAAACTCAGATTCCCAGTTCCAAGTTAATTTACAGAGTTAATTTGGTAGGCCTTGGGTGGGGCCTGGGAATCTTCACTTTAACACCACTTTCCTACTTTATAGTCTGCAATGGTACGGGCTGGTCCATGAACCACAGTTTGAGAAACTCTGATATTTGAAGCCAGGTGTATACGAAACATTTAGAGTATGTGAAACATTTAGAGTAAGTGTACAAATTGAGGGACAAAAAGTAAAACCAAGTTCTTTGGAACTCCAACATCTAAGTGTCCATTGAAGGAGCAAGAGCTAGCAAAGATACTAAGAAGTTGCCAGAATAAGAGGATAACATGAGGGCCGGCCGAGTGGCGTGATGGTTAAGAGCTGGGTTGGGATGCCAGAGGGCCCCGGTTCAGATCCCACATATGAGGGCCAGTGACACTGCCCTCTACAGCTAAGATGCTGAACAACAGCCCAACTTGGAGCTGGGCTGCTCCGACGATGGCGTAGGCTGCAACCCCTGCTGCAGTGGGTTGCCATGGGCTACCATGTGTAGCCAGTAGCCTCCGTGAGCGGCCGCCCAGAAGCTGGCGACTGATCTGCCTCGCCTGGGAAGAGCGCAATGATGGTGCCAACTTGGGCCAGTGAAGCAACGTCCTCCACAACTAGACTGAAGAACAAAAGGACAGCAACTTGTCTGTTGCCATCCCCTAATTCCCCAATAAAAATCTTTAAAAAAAGAAAAGAAAAGAGGATAACATGAACGAGAAGCTATAGAAGCCAAAAGAAGGCAGAATGAGGGAGGAAAAATGGGTGGTCAACAGTTTTGACTGTTGCTGAGAGTCAAATATGATGAGGACTAGAGACTGTCTGATTTAACAACATGGAGGTCACTGATCACTTTAGAGAGCATCATTTTGAAAAAGTGGGAGGGTCCGAAGTTGGTTTAGAGTGGTTTAAAGTGTACATGGGAGGAGAGGAAATTAAGGCAACAAACTTATTAGATAATTCTTTCTAGAACTTTGACTGCTAAGAGGAAGATAGAGGAACAGTAGTTTGTTTGGAAATAAGGCCCAGGAATTTTTTAAGTTGTGAGAGATTCAGTAGTATTTATATATGTTAATGGGGAGGATAGAACGGAGAAAGAAAAAATGGATAATGTGAGATTCTTGGAAGATAAGAAGGCATGAAACTCAGAACAAAGGATGAGGGACAAGCCTCCTGTCTAAGATAAGGAAAAGATGGACACAGATGCAGGTAGTTTGTAGGTTTGATGGCAGAAGATTTGGTGGTTTCCGTCTGAGCTACTTCCTCAGAATAAATAGGAAAAGAGTCAAATACGAAGCATGAAGAGAGGTGGCAGGGTTGAAGGTTGAGTAGAGTAAAAAAGGCTTAAAATGGCAACGGGAGAGAATGTATAGGCCAAAATGAAATGGGAGAATGTGGGACAATGTTGAGGGCCCAACTGAGGCTGGAACTCATAAATTTCAAGTACTACAAAGTTGCCCTATTGGGTATATTTCTCCAGAGGCACCAGAGCAAGGGTGGGCATAGAGAAAGTTGGGTGTTTGCAGAAATAACATTTTGCCCGATAAATGCAGTGAAAGCATAGGTTGTTATTTGCAACAGGCCGACTGAAATGGAATTTTAATCTAAGATAACAAGAGGTGGGGGCTCACGTAGAAAGGAAAAGTAAGAAGGTGGTGAATTTGAAGTTTTGATGAGACTGGCAAATGGTTATAGTGGGAACAGGTGAGACTGAGTGAGCCGGAAAGGTAGGAGGTACTGGTTTGAGGGTAGGATGTCTGAAAGTGGAATTTTAAAAGTGGAGCAGCTTCAGCTGTGGCCATAGAAACTGAGGGACTTTGAATGGAGTGCAGGGGCAGCTCATTTTAGATGAGGATGTTAAGAAACGGAGAGCATGAGTCGGGGTGAGAAGATTGTGCCAGATGCCATAGTGTTTGGTGAATGAATAGGGGAGACCAAGAGGTAGATAACAAGATTGCTGCTTGGGACATCAGCTTACAGGATTAACTTTCCAAATTATGCTTAGATTCTTTCTAAGTAATTGCAAAAGTATCAACTAGTGATGTATAATCTTGTCCCTTTTAAACCTATGGAGGCTCCTTTGTTTTGGTGAGTGGAGTTATAGGGGAGATGTAACAGAAGCATGAGAAAGTTTTGTTTACAGAATAAAGTGATGTGCGTAGAGTGACCCAAAAGGGAAGACCCAGGGCAATAGGAAGAAGGAAAAATAGAGGCGGAGTGGAGAGGCAAATAAGAGAGGTAGTGGGAGAGAACTGGCAGCTGCCATTAAGGTCTCCTATGGGAACTTGCAGGGAAAGAGCCCCCTGGTTAAAGCAACGTCTAAGAAGTTGAGAACAAACAGGTTTGATGTGCAAAGTGTCACCTTATTAAATGTTTAATAAAATCAGTATCATTTCCCAGTTACAGGCAGAATTTTATGGGACAACATGTGAGGGACTCACCTTATGATTGTAAGAGCAGTGACTATCACAGGGTTCTTCTAAACCAGGCTATGGAAGCAGTGTTCCTCTTGATTAAATTGCTGTTGATTTCTTGGTTCTTTTTTGAGAAATAACTTTCTTACAGACTCAGAATACCTTGTGGTATTTTATATATTCTAAGTAACTTTTATATTTGAAAGAATTGTTATATTTCCCATCCAAAAATTCATATTTATTAATAAAATATTATTAATTATTAAAATATTAATTCTAATTTTTATGTTTAAAACTTTTATTAAATGTGTCTGGCACTGGTGGCATGCATATGTTTGATATTCAGGAAATAGTATACCGATGACTCAACAAATTATTGGAAGTAATAAAAATGCATAGCATCTTACTGGATATAAGAATAAGATCAATATCAGAAATCAATTGGATTTTCATATTCCAGCAACAATTAGATCAAAATAGCAATAAAATATTTATAAATAAATTTAATAAAAGTGCAAACACTGCATAGAGAAAAAATTTAACTTTACTGAATGATATTAAAGAAGTTCTAAATAAATGGAAAATATACTACATTCAAGAATAGGAAGACTCAGTTCTCTCCAAATTGATTTATAGATTCAGTGCAATTCCAATCGAAATCCAGCAGGGTTTTATTTTTTTTCATTGAGGTTGAAAAACTGATTCTAAAATTTACTTGAAAAGCAAAAGTTCAAGAATACTCCTGAATAAAGAAATAAGGTGTGAGACTTGCCCTATAAGCTACCAAAGCTTTAGTAAAGCTGCAGTGGTGAAAACTGTAGTTTTGGCACAGGGGTAGGCAAACTGACCAGCAGAACAGGCTAGAGAAACAGATTCAAAAGCATACAGAAACTTGACACATGACATATGTTGTACGAAAAACATGCATGATTCAATAAATTGGTTTACACATGGGGAAAACATAATTGAGTCCTTCCTCAAACCATGTACATAAGTCAATTTTAGATAAACAAAAACTTAAAAATGAAAAATAAAACCTTCAAACCTTTATATTTTGATGACTTCAGGATAAAGATACATCATTGAAAAGATACCAAAAAAGTCATGAAGGTTAATATCCAGCATATAAAAAGACCTATAAATCAATAAGAAAAACATGCTACCCAATTAAAAAATGAGCAAAAAAAAATATTTTAATGAAAATGACATGAAAATCGCCAGTAAACCTAACAAGATCTTAATCTTATGAGTGATTACAGCAATATAAAAGAAAACCCCAAATATATTTTACACCTACAAGAGTGGCAAAATTAAGAAATCTGACTATCCCAAGTGATGATGAGCATATTGAACAATGGGGACTCACTCTGTTGGTAGGAATATAAATTGGAAACCAATTTGGCATTATTGAATATCATCTAAACAATGACCTAGCAACTTCACACCTAAATACTCTGTAAGAATGTTAGCATATATGCATGAGATTAGAATATTCATAGTAGCACTGTTTATATAGGCTGCAATCTTCAAATAACCCATCTGTCCACTGACAAGAAAATAAATGAGTAAATTGTCAAAAAGTCACTATGGAATATTATACAGCAGTGAAAATGAAAGAACTAAAGCTATACGTAATAATATAGTTTCTCTTAGTAACATGAAGTAAAAAAGTGAGTGGCAGAATACTACACAGAATGTGGTACCATTTTTTGTACTGCCCAAATACAAACAACACTAAGCAGGGTTGTTTAAGGACACATATATGTGGTAACAAAACTTAGAAAATGGGAGGGGAGATTATTTACACAAAACCCAGGATAATTAAAAAAATATATTTCTGAATGGGAAATGGGATGGGATGAAAAGTACTTCAGAAGGAGATTCAATGGGTTCTGGTAAAATTCTTCCCAAATTAGGTAGCGTGTGTCACGGTTCATCATATTCTTTTGCAACTTTCAAATATAAAACATTTTTTTGAGAAAAGAAAAAAACTGGAAAGCAACCGGCTTCAACCGTTTTAGCCACAGGCCTCGGTCGGCAAAGTGCTTGTGACCATCGATCTCCAGATCAGCTAGCTACGGGTTTGGAGCCACGGCCCACTGCACGCATGCGCACCGAGACCAGCCAATCAGTGACGCTCCCGGGTGAGGCGAAACTGGCCTTTTTCCCGCGCGAATTCCAAGGTGCCTCAGAGGAGCGCGCGGTAGCGGAGCAGATACCTCAGGTAAGGAGCTGGGGCAGGGAGACTGGAGTGGCTGGGGTAACTGTTGGAGACCTGTAACTGTGGTCCTCAGCCATTGGGGTTGTTTTCAGACGTGAATAAGGGAGGAGTTTGCCCAGCGCGGGAGTCTGAGCCAGAGGTTACTCTTGACCTGTGAGGTGAATCTTTCTATTGGCTCCACCTGGGTCTCTGACAGGAAAATGAAGGCGGTGAACCTGATGCAGGCCAGGGCCTTCAGGGGGCGAGGGGCCAGGGAGCGAGGGGCCGAAGGGCAAGCAGCAGGCTGAGCTGGCTCTGACGGGTCACACCGCACTTGGAACGTTTACTGTGGGGTGGGGCAGGGGAGCGGAAGGGGGCAAGGGA